CTTGGGGAGCGGCCGCCCCCGGCCCGGTGAGGCTGCATAAAAAGCGGGCGGCGGCGGCAGAGCGGCCAGCAGCTCTCGGAGCCTGCAGCGCCTCGGAACTGCAGCGTCTCCTGCTTCCGCTGCTGCGCTTGGGACTCCACGCCGAGCCGAGCCCGCTTAGCCTGGGTCGTTGCACCTGGACAGGACTTGGCCCTCGACGCGCCTCCCAGCCGTAACGAGCCGCCGCCACCCGGTGCCCCGCGAGCCATGGAGCTGGACCACATGACGAGCGGCGGCCTCCACGCCTACCCCGGGCCACGGGGCGCGCCGGCCGCCAAGCCCAACGTGATCTTGCAGATCGGCAAGTGCCGGGCGGAGATGCTGGAGCACGTGCGCCGCACCCACCGCCACCTGCTGACCGAGGTGTCCAAGCAGGTGGAGCGCGAGCTGAAGGGGCTGCACCGCTCGGTGGGCAAGTTGGAGAGCAACCTGGACGGCTACGTGCCCACGGGCGACTCGCAGCGCTGGAAGAAGTCCATCAAGGCCTGCCTGTGCCGCTGCCAGGAGACCATCGCCAACCTGGAGCGCTGGGTCAAGCGCGAGATGCATGTGTGGCGCGAGGTCTTCTACCGGCTGGAGCGCTGGGCAGACCGCCTGGAGGCCGGGGGCTCCAAGTACCCGGTGGGCAGCGAGCCCCGCCGCACCGTCTCCGTGGGCGTCGGGGGCCCCGAGAGCTACTGCCACGAGGCGGACAACTACGACTACACGGTCAGCCCCTACGCCATCACCCCGCCACCCGCGGCCGGCGAGCTGCCGGGACAGGAGCCCACCGAGGCCCAGCAGTACCCGCCGTGGGCTCCCGGTGAGGATGGGCAGCCGAGCCCCGGGGTGGACACTCAGATATTCGAGGACCCCAGGGAGTTCCTGAACCACCTGGAGGAGTACCTGCGGCAGGTGGGCGGCACCGAGGAGTACTGGCTGTCCCAGATCCAGAACCACATGAACGGGCCGGCCAAGAAGTGGTGGGAGTTTAAGCAGGGCTCGGTGAAGAACTGGGTCGAGTTCAAGAAGGAGTTCCTGCAGTATAGCGAGGGCACGCTGTCCCGCGAGGCCATGCAGCGGGAGCTGGACCTGCCGCAGAAGCAGGGCGAGCCCCTCGACCAGTTCCTGTGGCGCAAGCGGGACCTGTACCAGACGCTGTACGTGGACGCCGAGGAGGAGGAGGTCATCCAGTATGTGGTGGGCACCCTGCAGCCCAAGCTGAAGCGTTTCCTGCGTCACCCGCTGCCCAAGACCCTGGAGCAGCTCATCCAGAGAGGCCTGGAGGTGCAGGATGGGCTGGAGCAGGCGTCCGAGCCGCCCGAGACGCCCGTGCCCGCCGAGGACGAGGCCGAGGCACTCACGCCCGCGCTCACCAGCGAGTCCGTCAGTGATCGGACTCCCCCCGAGTAGAGGCCGGCGGGCACTTGCCCGTGGACTTGAGAGCTGGGGGTGTCTTCCAGCGGCACCCACCTCGGCTCCGCCTGACCCCCACACGGGCAGCTCCCCAAACCAGCAGAGCCCCCGAAGCTGGGGCTCCTGCCCTGACCCCCCTTGAACCCCACCGTCTGTCTTTCCAGCCTGGCCCACTGGGCCGGTGACCCCGCCACACTCTCAGCCACTACGGAACCTCCCAGCTCCTTCCCTCTGCCCTCAGCGCCAGCCCCTGGCTCTGGGCAGAAAGCCTAGTGTCCCTCGGTGTGGCTGGCGCGCACGGAGCTGGGGACACCCCCCAGGAGCAGACGCTGAGCCGGACCAGTGCCTCGGAACCTCGACTTCCGGTGGTGCCGGCGACACCCTCTCCTGGCAGCCGCCACACAGCCGGCTGGCACCCCGCTGCCTCCAGGGCAGCTGGCCAGCCTGCACCCGCTCCTTCCCCGAGGGCTGAAGCAGAGGCAGCGGCAGGCCTGCGATCCCGGTGCATCAGGTGAGGCTCTGCCCGGGGCACCCCCACTTTAGCGCTGGGAGAGCTCAGGGTCCATGTTCTGGTGATGGGGCCTGGGCGGCGGGGGAGGGGCTCAGCGACCCCTGGGACCAGGCTAGGGGTTTGGGGGTGGAGCAGGGCAGGAGCGCGGTGCCGCCTCTCACAGACTGTCTTCTCGCCCAGCAGCGGTGATTCACTCCTGCCTGGAGAAGGATCAGCTCTGTGTGACTCACGGTGGCAGCAGAGGGTCCCCGAGGACCTGAGGCCCCAAATGCAGCTGAGGCAGCAGCCAGCGCCCTTGGAGCCACAAGGGTGACAACAGGTAATGGTGCCTCCTCTCTCTTCCGGGACCCCAGCCCTCAGCTGTCCTGACCAAGCATCCCTCCACAAATGAGCCCGTGAGCCCCACCCCAGCCACCGTACCCCACAGTACTCCCTGTACTCCCTGGGTTCCTGGGGGCTTCAGCCCTGGGGGAGCACCCTATCTCCAGACCCACCCTGCAGGACCCCCCATCTTCAGCCCTGGGGGAGCACCCCGTCTCCAGACCCACCCTGCAGGACCCCCATCTTCAGCCCTGGGGGAGCACCCCGTCTCCAGACCCACCCTGCAGGACCCCCCATCTTCAGCCCTGGGGGAGCACCGCGTCTCCAGACCCACCCTGTAGGGCCCCCATCTTCAGCCCTGGTGCTGCTCCTGACTGCCCTTTTGCTCTCCCTCCAGGCCTCCAGGCTCCCACAGAAGCTTGGCTGCTGTGCCTGCCACAGCCCCTGCCCTCCCCACCAAGCTGCCTTCGCAGGAGGAGAGCTGGCTGTGAAGATGGCCGAGCTCGAGGGCCAGGGCCCGCACGGTGCCCACCTGCTGACCGCCACTTGCTGCCCCAGAGCACCACAGCACCTGGCCCTCACCCCAAACTGCCTTTGCAGGAGGAGAAGTCCAGGACAGGCAGCCAGAAGAGCTGGCGGTGAAGACGGCCTACCTCCGGAGCCAGGGCCCTATGGTGCCCGCCCGCTGGCCGCCGCTGCCTAGCCACCCCAGAGCAACACAGCCCCCTGCCCTCGCCCCCAAGCTGCCTTTGCAGGAGAAGTCCAGGACAGCTAGCTGGAGAGCTGGTGGTGAAGATGGCCTAGCGCCAGGGCCAGGGCCCCATGGTGCCCGCCCACTGGCAGCCGCCACCTGGCCACCCCAGAGTGCCACAGTGCCCGGTGCTCACCCCCAGGCCACCTTCGCAGGAGGAGAGCTGGCGGTGAAGATGGCCTAGCTCCAGGGCCAGGGCCCCACAGTGCCTGCTCACTGGCCGCCGCCTCCGCCCAGGACACCGCAGCTTGAGCGGGGTTCCCAGAGCCCCTGCTTGCTGTGCTCCGTCCTCTCCCGCCGGGCCCTGAGGTTGGGACCCCTGCCCGGCCCGGTGGCCCAAGCCCAGCCCCAAAGATTCCGGAGGCTTTGTTCTGGGGCTGATGTGGGCACTCCTGCCCTGCCACGCTGGCCTGGCCTGGGTCCCGCCCGCCCACCACACCGGCTCCAGTGCTGGTGGGCCACTCGTGTCTGCTGCAGGGCACGCACTGGTTGGGGTCCCCCATCTGCCGCACCACTGGGGGTTCCAGATTCCGGGGAGGGGCACCTTCTGATGACTCCTGCTGACCGTCCCATACCCCTGCCAGCTGCCCACAAAATTTATTGTTGCACATAAGCCATAATCCTTACCTGCAGGCTGGCACAGGCTGCAGGGAGGCGCTGGGGACCCCGAGAGTGTGGCCAACCCCTCCCTCACAGACCAGGCCTCCTATGTCAGGCGGGGCTGTGTGACCCTCAACCCTGAAGACAGACTCTTTTGTAACCTTTTGTTAATAAAATGCTGAAGCTTCTTGGCACGTGTGCCCACGGTTGTTTTGGGCTCGGGCTGGGCTGGGCCAGGGCTGTGAGGAGGCTGTGCAGGGTGGCGGACGGTGGGGCCTGCAGGGTGGTGGACGGTGGGGCCTGCAGGCGTACGGTGGGGCCTGCGTTTTCTCACAATGCTGCCCCTTGGCTGAAAGGATTAACCTGGCACCCCCAGGGTGCAGAGTGAAGGGTCTCTGAAGATAGGGCTGTGAGGGCCGCCAGGCACGCTGTCTGAGAGCACAGCACAGCCCTAGGCAGGGGCCTGAGTTCGGAAGGCGCCCCCTCCATCCCAGCCACTCCAAGGTGGGGCAGCGTCTGTGGCCAGCAGGCCAGAGTGCTTTCAGGGACACCCTCACTTGAAGCCCAAGTCGCCCCTCACTCTTCAAACTCTCTGGCTGGAGTGTGCGGGGTGGTGGTCCCACACAGAAAAGGCTATGGGGCCCTGGAGCCCAGAGTCCTGGACTAGTGCTGCCCGAGAGGACCTGGTGGGAGAGTCCCAGCTGCTGGGGACCATGACCTCGGTCTCTAAGCCTCAGTTTCCTTATCTGCAAAATGGCCTGACTGTCCCTAACCTTCCCCACGTGTGGGTTCAAGCCCTCAGCATGAGGGGGTGCCTGGCCCTGTGGGAGGTGGCCCTTGCTCCCGTCAGTGGAGTATGTGAGACTCTGGGAGGGGGTGGGATGGCCTGGAGGTAGCTTGGAGCCTCATGTCAGCCTGCATCCATGAGAAGCAGAGCCCGGAGACACGGAGTAGATGTTGCCAGGAAGTGGTTTGCACGCTCGTGGGGGCTGCCAGTCTGAAATCTGTAGGGTGTGGCCAAAGGAAGGGTGGGCTGACCTCCTGGGCAAGCGTAGGAGGAATTAACTGGAGAAAAGCCTCAGCTCTGCTTAGAAGGGCTTTCAGCTGATGGAGTCAGGCCCACTTAGCTCAGGAGAAGACCCCTTACCTCAAGTCAGCTGATCACAGGGCCCCTGGATTAGCAGCTGGGTTGGTAGGTGGGGCTACAGTGGAGCAGAGCTGACCCTTCAAACTGACTCGCAACCGCCAGGGTGGCCGCAGGTCCTCCCCCACAGTGCACAGGTCCTGCCCTTGTAAAGAGCCTGCGCTGCCCAGTGGGGCCCTGGGGCAGCCTGGGTGTCAGGTGCCTGCTGGGAGTCCCACACAGGGCCATGGCCTCGGGTTCCTGACGCTGCAAGAGAAGAGGGGGAGCCCAGGGCTGCAGAGAGGGCCTGGGAGGACAGGGATGAAGAGGAACAGACAATAGACCAGATGTGCCTTGGTCCCGCCCCCAGGGGCACTCCAGCACCCCGAGAGGAAGCACCACCTCCCTCCTGTCTCCTCCCCTTTTTCCCTTTGACACAATCACTCTGCTGACAAGCCTGGGGCAGGGGATCTAGGAGCTGGAAGCTGGGGCGCAGCCCTGGGAGGTGAGCCCTCCAGGAGACTTTCACGCCCTGCACAGAAGCCCAGGGGCAGCGGGCTTTCCTTTCCTGGAAAGTGAGCCAGGCTGTCCAGACACTTCCGGCCGTTTGACAGGCGGCTGCCAGTCTTTGTGGTCGGGAGAAGAGGACTGAGTGCCGCGTGGGGGGCGTGGCACGGGCTGGGGGACTCTTCCCATCTCCCCCAGACAGGACACCCCTGCTCTGGGCATCTCTCCACCCTCCTGCCCACCCGGCGTCTCAGTAGGAGATGGGGGAGGTGACACAAAGGGCAGTGTGCTGTGCCACAGGTCTGGGGGGTGTGCAGCCCCGAGGGGTCGTCCTGGCCATGCAGCACGGTGGGAGGTCCTGGTCCTGCAGTGTGGGCTTTTTCAGACCCGTGGCCTGCACAGTCTGAGAGATCTCCTCCCATTGCTGCTGTGAGGGGGAGTGGGCAAGCGGCCGGGCCAGAAAAAGGGCCCAGGGGCTCCAGCACTGCCCACAAAGTTTGACTCTGGCATGCGCCATCAGTGCCGTGCTTGGGGATGGCTGGTTAAGAACCACGGGACACTGGCTTGGGAACAAGCATCAACCAGCCTGAGGCTGAGCTTATGGTACAAAGACCCGACACATGGATCCGCTCCTGTTCCTCCCCTGTGAGCTTGGGGGTGGGGCCTGAGCTCCACCTCTTCAACCCAGGGTCTTTGTCTGCGGGGTTGGAGCTGGGCTCTGCAGGGGGAGGCAGGGCAGAGACATGCCAGAGAGGGAAGCCCTAGCCCATGAGAGGTGCCCAGCACCGCCACCCGTGGTCCTCTGCTGGAGCCGTGGTCATATGACCACATCACGTGCAGGGGGCCTGGGACGTGTGTGGGAAGAAGGGGGACAGGTGGGCAGAAGGCCACTGAGACAACTGCTGGGGTGGTATGGCCGTTTACGTACTCTAAGGAGCGACTCGATGGCAGGCGAGGACAGCAGGAGCTCCGAAGCCCGGGGAGGTTCAGCCAAGAACCCGGCGTCAAGTCCAGCCTGGAGTCGGTGCTCCCGTGAGCATCGCTGCAGTGAGGAGCCAGGGCTGAGCAGGCACCACGCGGCGGCCTCCGAATGCCGGCGGTGAGGGCCTAATGTGGGTGTGACTGCTGGCTGCCTCCTCTCAAACACCTTCTTGCTTTGGGGCCGCAGGAGCGACCAGCACCGA